GTTTGTGGCACTTTGCTATACATCCTCTAAAAATATGTTATGTCCCATAAACAGGTAAGTCACTGGCAGCTGGTGGCAAGGATCAGTTCAGCCCTGACTTCTTGCAGCTTCAGGTATGACAGCTGTGCCAGGAGCAGGGATCAGATGAGAGCAATAATTTCCTTTTCCTTTGTCATTCTCAGAGTCAATGATGGGGAGCTTTTCTCTGCAATGATGCTGCACAGAGATGATGGGTTAGATTACAGTGATTAATGGATGATTTAATCACGCTTTGTGCCTGCTGGATGCAGGCAAGGGGAATCTCCACTCCCACTTTGAATGCTCACACGGAGAAGGGAAAAGCAAGGTGCAAATTCGCAAAGCTCTGTTCAGCTGATACTGCTAAGCAGTATTGTTTATCACTTCTGTTTCCATAATGTCTCCTCATGAGAGATTAATGTTAATTCTGATTAAAGGAGAATCAGACGTTGTTTCAGGACTGGGGATTTGGTTTGGGCTCCAGTTTATTCAGGTATAAATTGCAGCTTGCAAAAGCTTTTGAGTTTCCTTGCATGGTCCTGAATTTCCTCATCAGGGGCCTTGGGAGCTGCATTTAAGTTCAAGCCCATGGTTGTCACCTGCATTATGTTGCAGCAGTGCTGGGCATGGCCACACACTTTTCTTCCCCTTCACCTTACCACTCTCTGCCACTGTTGCTGCAAGGCAAAACCCATTTTTTGTTGCAAAGTAGATAAATCAGGTTACTTAGTTCATGTTCTTCCAGTCCCCAGAAGCTTTTACTCTCCTGTTACTCACCCTCTGCTGCCATCATGGGGCCACTTCGTCATTGCAACCTCTTCTGTGTGCCTCTTACCTAGACCTGTTTAGATTCTCATAGCAAACTGTTTCCTCAAGAGCTTGGGGGCATTTCAGACCTATTGAGGTTATTTGCAAAAGAAGGGAAATCACATCAGTCATTTTTAGCTCTCTAAATGTTGTTTAGCCTTTTTTTTTATAAACTTCTTTTCCTCCTTGTCTTGTTCCTGTGTGGTCTTTCTCAGTTGTGGATGCTTGGCAACACCACGAGCCCAAGCTAAAGCCCTTCACCACCGGTGCAGACATAAAATATGAATACAGAAAATATGAAGATTTAAATGCAAAGAACAAAAATACAAGAATTGCAGATGTCACCGATGTCATTGGGGGCTCCCAAAGCAGGGCTGGGTGATCAGAAGAGCTTTCAGCTGCCATGGGAGAAGGATGTGACTCACGACGCATCTGCACTTGGTTGCATAGAGAGGAAATGCATTGAATGAGGCCATAACACTACAGAAAGTTGCATCAGAGCGATGATGGGAGGGCTGCAGGGAGAACGACAGCACTAACACAGCTGAAGAAAGCAGTCGTTACAGAAAGCAGAGGAAAATGGTTGGGAAATGCCTGGACATTTGCAGGACTGACCTGCACTGTCTCAAAGGAGAAAATGGGCTCCTCTGTCCAAGTGGTGGCCATGGCACCTCTCAGACCTCCTGTACTGGAATGGGGAGACTTTTCACTGCTGTTTCTCCCCCTCCCTTTTGCAGGAGTCTGGCAGCAACCTGCAGTCACATGCAGTAGCGCTGAGGCTTGCTGCTAATCAGTACGTGGGTTATTCTTCCAAGGGAAAGATGATGGGGAAAATCAGGTCCCTCCCAGCGCTCTAGTCATGGGGATGCCCCCTGCTTTTCCAAAGAAAAAAAGATGAGTAGACAAGAAAAAGTGTAATATAGCTCCTATTTCTCCAGTTGGAAGATAAGATTTATTTATAATGATTAATCCTTCCAAGCTACTTTATGCAACACAAAGAATGAGAGAAAGGGCATAATCCTACTTTCTCCCTCCATTTCCATGTCACCTTTAGTAGCAATATTTGAGAGCAACCAGCTCCAAACCCCAGCAAAGGTAGGGAGTATATTCAGGACGTTTTCTGTGCATGTATAAGTGTGCTTCTTTGAAGCTGTGATGCAGCCTGTTCTCAGCAGACCTTTCCCAGACTTGGCTGTAAAAAAACAGCTTGAAAAGTATTGTCCCCTCATGCAAAAGTCAGCCCTCATCCTACTGATCAGACAATGTTTGCCCTAAAAAATGACATGCTGTTTAGCCAAATTGCAGGTACACACATACACTCACTGACTCTTCCTGGCATTGCAAACAAAACCCAAGCCAGGCTTAAAAAAGAAGAACAGAAGATTAAGCTCCTATCAAGAGGTAATTAAAGCCAGGAGGAGAGATAGTGATGACAATCATAATGAATCAATTGGTACAGGGATGTTTGTCCAACAAATTACTGTCATTATACACAGAAGCAGGAATTATTACACATCAGCAGAAATACAGTCCATCGAACCTCTGCAAATGACCTGATCGAGTTTAGAGAGTAATTAAAAGGACATTCCAGCCTGGATGCATTATTTGCTGTTAATCATGATTACTCATATTCATATCTTTACCCAAATAATTGCTTCTGATAAGGGCTGCAGATTTATAGGGGGCCATGGAGAGGAGTGGGTGCATCGTAGCCGTGAGACAGCTGAGAGCCTGGAGTGACCACGGTTTGGTGAGTACCGCTGTGCTGACATGGTCAGGCTGGACAGGCTGCCTTCTCCCCTCTTTCAGTTTTTGGGTGGTGGATTTCAGGCCTCCGTGATGCTGTGCTGAGCCATTGCCATGAGGCCATCCATCTCCTGAACAGCAATGCTGGTAATGTGTGGGGTTTTCCTCCTCTGGAACAACCAGAGGAAAGAATGGAGCCCAAACAGCAGCTGGACCAGATGGCTTCCAGAAATACATGGTATTTAGTTTCAGGAGGGGCACAATGGTTGGGCAAGAGCAAGAAGGTGTGCAAACTGGCTGTGTACCAGCCTTTTTGGAAGCTCTCCTAGTGGTAGTGCTCGTGCAGGGTGATGGGAGCCTTGATTCAGCAAAGCCTTTGAGTGCAATCTGACATTTCAGCAGTAGGATTTGTCTGCTGGAAAGGTCTGAGATACTCCCAGGTCCTGGGCTGGCTCGGTGCACACTACTTTCAGCTAAAGGTCCCAGCTAGCTAACGAGTATGCATTTATTGAAAGCCAGCATCACTGGGGAGGGCAATAAAAACCTCGGAAGTATCTTAAGAAGGTTAAACAGCTCTACTGTGATCACACCGAAGATCTACCTCCTCCCTGGGGTCTGAATGATTAAAAAACCCAAGACAATACATCATTATTAATACACAGGAGAAGATGCCCAACAGCCATTACTGTTCCTAGCAACTTCAGCAAGCAAATATGATCTGCACAGGGAAGACAAAATTATGGCCAGAAAGTGAAAAGACAAGTTGATCCACTTGATTAGCAGATAAAAAGGTTATGAAGAGAGGGGAAACTCTGGAGCTAGGGATGGGGTTTAAAATGGGCTCTTAAATGTGGTGCTCCTAGGCAAATGCCAGCCCAGCGTTGGCACAAGGGAGGCCAAAATGCTGTGGTGAGATCCTGGCTGGGGGTCAAGGCATTGCGTGGCAGGTATTGTATAGACTGAAGAACAGGCTCAGGATCCAGGTTTCCCTTCCCTGAAGGGTGGTGTGCTCTGGTTTTGGTGGCTGTTTTCAGCTCTTTCACATGTCTCAGCTGGGAAGCAGTACTGTGGAGTCTGTTTTGTTTGGACTCCAATAAGAAACTGATCTTTGAAATGCCCTTCTTGTTTTACTTATTCCATCCCCCTCAAAGCCAAATCAGGCAGGAAAACACAACACTAAAGCATCAGAAGTGTGTGTGAGATGAATCTTATGGCTCCTTAATTCTGCAAAACCTCTCACCTGTCTTCTCTGTAACCCCCATTAAATATTTCTGCTGTGGCTTACAGCGAATAAATTTCTGTATAAATCCCCCACTCTTGTCGTTCCTCTTCTTGCCTCTTCTCATCTTGCAGTATCTCTAGAGTAGCAAACAGTCTCAGAAGGGCAGCTAGAAAGTGTTCAGGAAACTCTGACAGTCCTTTAATGCTCTTTGTACTGTCTGGTTTCAGACTAAAATAAAACCAAAGTGGGAGGACTTTGATTTTGGGTTAGCAAGTACCATCTGAGAGTTTCCAGGCCAGCAACTAAGAAAGCAAGGTTTGCTTCTTTGCAGGAGGAAGGCAGGTATATTATATATCACAGATATGGCTCCTGTGTAATCCTTGGGGAAATGTGAGCACCCTCTCATAAAGGCACACACACATCTCTGCAGGCATAGGGCTGCCAAAAGAGCCTGGAAATAAAAGGGAAAAACGTGCAATGGCTTGTGATAAACAAAATATGCCTTTCTTTTCTTTTTGTATCAGTCAGAAAAATACGAGGTTCTGCTGCTACTGAAAATGTGTGGGTTTTTTTTTTTCCTTCTTGAAATATTAGATAGGCAGATATCGGCACACACAAGAGCCCTTCCCTTCTCCTGTGTGTAGATTAACTTTTATTTGGTACATGCCATTTTTTTTAATCTGAAAAAACCCAAACAGATTTCTCCTGGGCATCTTCTAGCTATACTAATAGCTGTCCGTGTAGGATGTTTTCATGGGTGCTTTAAATCCTCTCCCTGAAGGCTCAGCTCTCAGAGACTTATAGTAGAATGGGGTTTATTCCATGGTGTTGTGCTGTTGATGGATTAACTCACATGATACCTTTCTGCATATTCAAGACATATTATACTGACTCACAGCAAAACTCCAGCACAAACATCATCTCGCACAGCCAACCTCAGACCCATGCTCTGCGACCGCATGGTGGTGGTGGTGGGATAACAACTACAAACAACCTCCAGCTGATTGGTAACATGAATGATTTGAATTGTTCATCTTCTGTATTTTAAAGAAATACTATCTTTGCTGGCAGGAGTTCCTGCCTAGTTTAGTTATAGTGGTGTTATTTATACAACAATGTTTTCTGTGTGGCATGTGAACTGTATCAGACAAAGATGAATGTCATTTGTTCTGCTGCTCATAAAACCTTGTGCTTTAATTCAGGAGAGACCATGGTTTCCTTGATGACTGGTCTGTGGCAACTAATTATTCCCATGATTGTCCTATCACACTTCTCAGCATCTCTTCCATCCTGGGAGAGGTAAGCATTTCTTGTGCCTCTGCTTCCTTTTTCTCCATGGCTTTTTGTTCAAAAAGCCTGCTAGCTATAAAGTCAGCTTTTTATCTTCCTTCCAGAACATGCAGCTGCTTGGCTGTTGGATTTTTTTTCTTCCCTAAATTGATTTAGTTAAATGAGTGCAAATGTTGTAAATATTTTTTCTTGCTTAAGAGTGGAAACATTGATTTGATTTAATTCAGGAGAAAAATCAGGATCCCAAACACATTAAACTACAGTGAAAAAGACACTCTTGAGTCTCTTTTCCCACTAGGTACTTATACAGGCTGAGAGAACTGGAAGTTTCTGTTTCAAATAGCCTAATCCTATGAAAACATAGCCAAAAATAGTCAATCTTTAAAGTTCAGCAGTTCACAATCTTGCGTGTAAGACTTTGGCAGAGTTGTTTCTCCTCCACTTGTGCAGAGGCAATTAAAGCACAGAGACTAAAGGACTTAGGCTGGAAGAGGACAGAGCTGAGATTCCCTTGCAGCCCTTCCACGGCCACAACCAGTGCCTAGCCTGGCTTCCCTAGCACTGTACTGGCATAGACACCCCCCCCCCACAGACACATTGTCTCTCTAGAAGCTGGACCCCAGACCTTTTATCCTACCCACTGGCTAGTCTGGTTTGAAGTTTAATAGCGCTGGTTGAACCTCACTGCGGCTTTGAGCACTTCTTTTAATGACTTGTCAATCAGTCATCTGCGAGTGCTGATCTTTGGTACCGCCACTGTTACCTACCTGTTCCTCAAGGTTTGTGTATCTGGGTGTTTAATTTATTACTTCTCCAGTCTCTTGTCCCAATCTTTTGTGCTGAATCAGTGTTAACCTCACATTCCCATATCCTTATGGTAAGGTGATTACATTAGTAAGAAGCAAGTGCGGGTAGTTTTTCTGTGTGATGCTTAATAAAGATATTTCTTTTAAGCTCCTATAAGATTTGCCCTTTTTTTGTGAAACTTTGCCAAATTGGCACGAATTCTTGCCCATCTTTCTTTGGGACCCTCTTTCCTTGAAGGAGCAGTTTTAAATGCCTGTTCTTCTCTGGTCTTAAAACCATGCCTTTTCATCCCTTTTTTCTCTTCTAACCTCCCAGGACTGAGAGACATGCTGATGGGCTCTTCCACAGTGAGCTGAGCAAGATGAATGGCAATGCCTACGTGCGGCAACTAGTCAAACACTTGGTGGGCCTCAAAGAGAGGTAAAGACCAGCCGAAACCACCCTCCTGGGGCATGGAAGTGTCCAGCTGGAGATGGGGTCCCAGCAATGAGGGGGGTGTCCATTGGGCTGAGCTGTCTCCGGCTCCAGAGCCAGCCTGAGCACTGGCCTCATCCAGAGGATGCCCAAGATGAAAGGAGACAGAAGAGGAGAAGGGGAGGGATACAGGGCTCCTTGATGGTGGGAAGAGAGAAATTTCTGTGTCTTGTGATAAGTTCCACATCACATGGCTGGGAGAAGCAGCCATTGTACTGTATTTTCCCTGATGCAGGTCCCAGAGGCACTCAGATGGACTGTTTACCAGCGAATACAGCAAGATGAGAGGAAATGCTCAGGTTCAGAAATTCATCCAAAATCTCATGGGCCGCAAGCGCAGGTGAGAGCTCTGCTTTCTGGGGAATGGGAAGGCAGCTTGGGCCATGCAGGCTGAAGGGAGGCAGGTCTCAGGTCCAAGGAAAGGGGGATGGCATGACCAGTAGTTGGGAAAACTCGAGACAAGGGCAAGCGGGCTGGGGCTTGGTCTCCCGCTATGCTGCGCCTGGAGCTGCTGTGCAATAACAAAGATATCCCATCAGCCTGCCCTGCCTGTTACAGCAGGCAGAGCAGGACACAAACCTTCTCACTGAAGCCATTTCTAAGCATAAACCAACATTATCTATTGCATATGCATATCAAGCTTAATCCATAGGACACAAAACTATATCAGATCACAACCTGGGATTTTTTGTTTGCGTTTTGATTTAGCCTTTTGGGGAAAGTTGTAGGTGATTTACCTACTTCAAATAAAGCACCTGAGAAAATGTTTTTAGATAAATGGGCTCTGTAGCAGAATGAGGAAGACCTCTGGGTTTCATAGTCCCCACCCATGGCTCTGACTGTCAAACTGGGCAGGCTTTAGACATAATCATATATATGGCCAATATGGGGTCTTTCATCCAGCTGAAATATGGGGCCACTAGCTCCCACTGAAGCCACGTGTATGAGCACATCATCAGTTACAATATGTGGTGCACTGTGATATAGCTCACAACTGCTGCTGCCCTTGCTGCTGGTATGTTATGAAGGGAGAGCATTGCCTGGAGAGGTTTCCTTCAAGATTGGTCCTTTCTTCAAGGCAGAGACATAGCACATTGATTCCTTCCCATCTGTTCAGGGTGCTTTGATATTTTCTGGGGCATGCACCACTAACAAAATCCTGGCAGATGCACTAGATTTTTAATTTCCAAGTTCTGGAAAAAGGTATATATCCATGGATGGAAGGACATGCCGGTACTGGGTAATGAGGCAGAGTGCAAGTGCATATTAAAATCTGTCCCTTTGCCAGCGAGAAAGCATCTGAGCCTGATTTGAAGAGGATACTTCTTTTTCTTCCTGCACAGCTATAGTGACAGTTGGCAGGTTAACAGAGCATGGACCATGGGGCAGGTCGGTGGCGGGGTGAACCAGCCTTCCAGACAGCAGTGCTGTTTTACAGCTGTGGTGGTTACACTATTTGTTTTTTTTTTTATTATTATTAATTTTCTTTATCTAAACCAGCTCTCCAGGCCCAGTCAACACAGATGTGCAGGGGAGAGAGGAACAAAACAGCCATGAGGAACTTTGCTTTATGTGGCTGTACCAGAGCTTTCTAAACACCAGGTAAGTGGGACAGATTTGTCGCCTCTATGGCCCTGATCACCACAGTATTGAAGCCAAAAGAGGACTTTTAGTAACTTGTAAATGCCCAGTTTTTGCCCCAAGTGCAGAAGTCTGATGTAATGCAGGATATCAGAAGGGTTCAGCTGATATCCTCAAAAATACCCTCAAAAAGGAAAAGGGTGGAAGATTTATTAAATTGTCCATATTTTAAAATCACTTCTGCCTCATTCCCCATCAGCTTGTGAGGCACTGTGTCGGGGTCTGTCATTGCTGAATTGCAGCCCTCCATCACACAGTTTTGTACCTCCTGTCCCTCTGCCAGCAACCACACTCCCAGGGGTGGTTTGCAGAGCTAGAAAAACGAATGCTTTAATCTACCTGCAAGGTGGCATGCGGCTGTGTGCAATCTCAATTGATTTCCGTGCCTGCATTCACGGTAATCTCTATTTCTATGTGCCAAGCCCACCTGGCACTCAGTTTTGCCTTACTGAAAGCAAAGCTGGCATTGATTTACAGCTAAGAAGTGCCATATAAAAGCCAGCTATTAAAATAATAAAACCCAGGGAAATGAAATAATATCTTTTTCTAATAATAGAGTTGTCATCCCAGACTGAAACAATTGTTCATCCCATTCGAAACCTGATCTAACAGTTAAAATAGAAAGCCTTTGCTACCCCGTCTTGGTTCAGTTATTGATTCAAACACACATCTCAGGATGGGCTGTCCCAGCATCTGGACATTGTCTCTTCATAGTGACCAACCACTTTCAATTACACATGTCACTGTGAAATCACTAAAATTAGTAGGAATAAGCTGGCCCTTAGTACCTCTTGTCCGCATTGCCTAGAATAAAGGGGGATGATAACACCAATAGGCTTGCCTGTGCATTTGTGGGGTGCCTGGCTGCAGGCAGCCATGATCTGGGTCCCTCTATCATACATCTGCTTCTTGGAGTCATCTTTGAATTTTACAAGGTAGCCTTGTCACACTTCCTGCAGTCCGTACCCCCAAGAATAACAAACTATCACTCATTTTTTCCCTCCCAACAGCCGCTCGGACAGTGATGCCAGGGAAGCTGCTGCAATTACCAGCCAGTATGTTTGCCCCATCTCTAAGCAGCTGGTTGCAGACATGAAGGAAGATACAGACAGTTTAGACTGAGGGTGAAGGGAAAGAAGCAGCCAAGGAGACAGCTTTGCATGTATACAGCCTTGAAAATAAACAAGGAAGCTAATGAATTTGCTTAGGAAAAACTCTTGAGATCAGCAAATAAAAAAAAATTCTGGAAAGCAGCCAAAAACCGATGAAACCTCTTAGATTATCAGGAGTGAAATATATGTCAGTGTGAACTGGTGTCAGTAGATGGATCCTGAATAAAGCACATCACTTCCACTTTGTGTTAGCATCTGGCTGCCTGCTTCTGAAGTCAAATAAAGATTTGTTAGCTATACCTGTGCTTTGGCTGCTCTTTGGGAAACAGTAATAAGGGTGGTACCATTACTAGGTGTTGGACCATTAGGAATGCGGGGTGGGAGGGAGAAGTATTTTGCCAGGCTTCCCACACCTGAGGCATGTTGGGACTAGCTGGAGTCCCTGGCCACATCTTCCGTAGCTGGCACTCAGCACTGCTCACAATCCAACTGTACAAAGAGGCCAGTATCAGGGCCTCCATTTAGCAGAAACTTAGCCAGGTGCTAGATTTTATTGCAAAGAAATGTACTGAGAGCTACTCAACATAGATACACATTGTAAATACTCTTTCCACTCCATTCTGCCCCTGTATTTACTGGCCCAGTTTTCTCATAGCCACTAAAGACAAAACTCCACTAGGAGGAATTTGTTCCCAACATTTAATGAGGTTTACATGTTATCCCTGTACCACACTGCCGGGAAGATTCCCTTCTCTGATAGAACAGCAACTCTACGTTTCCTGTAAAACCAACAGATTTTGAAGAGCAGCTCTAAAATGAGGCATCTTTAGCTGCGATCATGTGTGCCTACCGCAAAACTGCTCAGTCCATCCTGCACCATCAGTTTTCACCATTTATGATGTACATGACATCTGCAAAGAAGCTAGTCCCTCTCAAATGCTCATCTAAGCACCCATTCCCTTATTGTGATGCTGAAATGCTGTTCTCATGGACTTTGGCATTTGTTTATTTTGGTCCATAGGAAATCTCTGCTAGGAAAGAGACCTCTTGGAGGACTTTTGGAAGAAGTGATGACAGTCTGTATTTTGTTAAGCCACTAATGGCCATCTGGCTAAAATGCAGCATCTGGGAACTTTCTGAAATGAATTGGGATTTCAAAAGGAGCAGTGAGAGCAGCTGTCCCCTTTCTCCTCCTACACAATGGGCAAGTTGAAAACAATGGCATTTCTTTGCACAAGTGGCCAAACACCTTGCCACGTGATATTTGGCTTGGAAAAATTTACACAGGCTCAGAAAAAGACAGGACAAGGCAGCAGAATAGCATGCTATTGAGGCTTCAGGAAGCTGCTGAGATGTAAATAATTGGAGCCTGGATGGTGATTCTGGGGAGCATCCCTACAAAAAGCCACTGCTGGCAACTGGTAGAAGGGGACATGCATTGTCCCTGCAAAGTTGCTGGGTAATCACTGGGCTGCAGCTGAGCCCAGTCGCTGTCTCTGGATCCACTCTGCTCACCTTGCGAGGGTACTGTAGGGTGGCTGGGAACAACAAGATTGGCTCAGAAACATAACTGTTTATCTCGACCCAAGGACTTACACAGGGCCTAGCTCCTTCCTTTACCATCCAAACAAAAGAGCAGCCAAGATGGCTTTGTCTTCACTGAAACCTTTGCCTTTTCCAGAAATAAAGATAAGACATTCGAGAGCTGGCTTTTTAATTTTTTTAGAAGGAATCTGTTTTTCAGGAACAACATGACAGACTGCAACTAGAAGAGAGAAACCATAAGTCATGGGCTGGAGAGCAAAACCTGTTATAAAAGGGAATGTGGGTCATGCAGGAAAAGCCTGGCTAAAATAAATAAGATATAGGGGGTATAGTAGCATCATGACGCCTTTTTCCAGGAAATGATCTGACCAAAACAGACCCTATCTCTGACACATCAGAAATATAAAATTGCCCACTTCCTCCCCACTGGGAGAGGCTGGAGTATACAGACAGCTTCCCAAGTGTCAGCCCTTGTCCTCCTTCATGCTCATGCTCACCTCAGGGGGCTTGGCTCTGAAATCTGAAATGCTTCAAATATATCCTTGTTGCTACAGGGAGTTTAGGGTAGGAAAGACCCAGGAACAAAGTAGAGACAGGAATTTATGCGTTATCATGTTCCGTGATGGTAAATATCTTTCAGTAAGTCATCCAATGAGGCAAAGAGGCAAAGGTTGAACTGCAGCAATCCGCTCCAGCCAGCCAGTGTTTTTCGCCTTCATGAAGCAGTGAATGCAGAAGACGGCACTGGGAGAAACAGGGAGGGAAGAGGATCAGCTTAATCAGAAACAGGGATTTTTTCAACAACTAGCAGCTCACCATGGCTGTTTCTCACTGGCTTCTCACTTTTGTGCTCTCTCTACTGCCCTTCATAACACAGGTTTCAGCACAGCAACAAGGTAAGCTCTTGCAGGAGGTCCATGACCACAGAGAAATAACCCCCACGGCAGCAGGTTGCACCATTATAGGTGGGAGATGTTTACACTCTTACTCTGAGACAGCTTTGTTCAACGACCTTCTCTCCAATGGTAGCCAGAGGGGTCTCGGGTCTCATGTCTCACCCAACTCTGTCACAATGTGAATCCCTGGGCAATTCTGTGTGTCTCATTTGTGTGTTTTTCCAGGATGTTCTGTTGATAACAGCAAACCAAGCGTTTATGAAAATAACCCTCCTGGCTACGTGGTGACCACTATCCATGTGGAACCAGACTTCACTGTAATGATTAATCCTACTTCCCCCGATGTCAGTTTTTTCACTATACAGGGGTCTGAGCTGCAGCTGACCCAAAGTGTGGACTATGAGGTAAGCCTTTAGCTGGCAGGCTGTAAGGATGAGATGCATAATGCTGGGATGCAATGAGTTTCAACTTGGGGTCTTGGACTTCCAGGGATTCGTAACCTGTTTCTAAAGGATGTAGGAAATAACTTTGAAAAATAAACCTATTTCAGTGGGGTTTGAGTTCACTGCTTGGGAGGTCAGTCCTTCCACAAGCAGAGTATAGGGAGGAAAGGGATGCATGGTACGCCTGCTGTCACCTTCCTTCAATGAATCTGTATGAATTAAAGCAAGGGGAAGTTTTAAAACCAAAAATGTGACAACTGTAGTATTCAGAGCTCTCCAGGATTCATGTAAAATGATCCCCGTTTGCCTGTAGAAAATACAGCTCTGAGCAGTGAGCTCAGAGTAAACGAGTGAAGCGTAAAGGCAGTATAAAAGGTCAGTGTGTTCAGTTAGGTTGCTGCTAAATTATTTTACCTTCCTGGAGCATTCTGTACACAGCCACAAGCACCCTTAAGCTGCCTTTACCGTACTGTAAAAACCCACATTTATTTGAGCAAAGAACAGCAGAGTTAACACCCTGCAGGTGACGCTGTACTTGCTGCATGGTACATTTCTGTTTCATTCAATTTAAAAAGGAATCTCTGTTTGAATTCACCTAAAGTGCGAGAAAATGGCCGATTAGCTCTGCCGACATGTTACAGGAATCACAGGGAGAGAAGCTGGAAGATCGGTCTGCTTTGACTCCATCATAAACAAGATCCCAGCGCTGATGGATAGCTGTAAAGGAAAGAAAGGAAAAGTTAGATATGCCTGAAAACAAGATAAAGCCCAGCAGCATTTCTGATTCAGCAATGCATGTATTTGTCTCGTTTACTTCAGAAAGAGTTAGTACATTTTGACTTGTTTCTACAATGGCTGGGTTTTTGTTTTTGCATACAGAAAGACACCTTGCTGCTGGTGTACCTGATTTGTCAGAACACTGCTGGGCAGGTGAGTGCTCTTCCAAACACTCAGCCCTGCTACAAGGTACTGCAGGGCAGCACGTACTTCCCTCTGCTCTTTCTAGTCCACAGACCGGGGTGAAGAGATGTCCTTTTCTTTGCGGACATACACACTCCTCTCACAGTCAGAGAGAGAGCGCTGAAGACTCTGCGAATGGGGAGGGTGTGGAAACAAACCCACAAACCCCACACACACTGTGGGCTGGCTGCAAGCCCCAGCCCCATCCAGCCCCCATCCAGCTATGCTCCTTACACCATCCCCTCCGGTCAACCTGCAAATCAGGATCAGCCCCTAACAGTCTTATTTTTATCTTTGATTCTCTCGCTTTACCCTTTCTGCAGAGCAATTCTTTGGAAATTTTTGTGACCATTCTCAACGTGAACGATAACAGCCCAGTGTTTAAGCAAACGAATCTCACCGAAGTTGTTCCTGAGGTAAGCATTTTATGGCGGTCAAGAGGGCACTGGGTCACCCAGTGCTGTGGGACTAAGGAATGGTTAACAGGGAGAAGTCTTCAGCCCGTTTCGCAGCGAGAATAACCACAGCGACTTTGTTTCAGGATACAAAAGTGAATGCAACCATTGTAGCCCGTGAAGATTTAAGTGCTAGTGATGCTGACCTGGACACCATATTTTACGAACTCACAACAATAGTGCCGGTGAGCATCTTTGTTCTTTGGGGAAAAAATGGTAGCTCTGGAGAAGTCTTTGTGTTTAATTCAGAAGAGCCCCAGCTTTGAGGGTAAGGTCACTGTCTCTGACAGCTTCTGGAAGAGGTATGTCTTTTGCAAAAGCTAAGTGTTGGTTTGGTTAGCAGAACAGAGCAATCAACATTGCAGGTATCGAATTCTTTTACTGCTCACACTTTTATTGCACTGTATAAATTAAACTTTCATGTAGAATATTTTGAGCCATATGGTCCAGGGAAGTCTTGTTGGGATGGTCTGTAAACATATCAGGAGAGACCTTTGTACCTCACAGAGTCCAGAATTGCGCTGAGTCAGATAGGGAAAGAAGGAGTTATTGTCCTGTTTGCCAAGAGTGTCCGTGCAGAGTGGAGACAACGAGCTGCCCAAGATCACACAAAGAGTCCTTGGCAAAGCCTGAGGCAGACTCCACTTTCCCCAGGTCCCAGTTTAGTGCCTTAGTTTATTTGCTCTTAAGGGGTTTGCTTGATAACATGGGAAATAAATTGTATGCACAGTTAAATTTATGCCAGCCTAGAGTGCAAGGGCTAGACAAGAAAAAAAAGTAAATTTAAGAGAAAAACAAAATGTATATTTACATTTTTTAAAAGCATTGTGGAGTGAGCATGCAGTATCTGACATTCTGCCTCCATTACCTCCATAACCCTGGGGATTTTAAGGGTTGTGAACAGAAACCACAAGTTTTTTAATTTCAGCTGTGGGACCAAGCTTTGCACTGACATTGGTGTAAAACCAGGGGGATTTAGAAATCCAGAGGAATTCTAGTCAAGACGTAAGATTAAAGGAGAACCAAAGCAAGTGCAGAAGGTTATAGAGTAAAATGCAACTTATGTTATTTCAATTTAGCTTTACAGTTGCTTCCAAAGCTCTGCTAGGCTAAGGCAAGTGATCCTGCCAGCTCTCAGAGGCGGAGCCATCTTTGATCTGTTTTGTGCACGGATGTGAGAGTGCTGCGTTGTCAGGGACCCAAAATCAAGGATTGTTGGCAACCTGTTGAGTGTAGGAAGTAAATGAGGTAAAAGATTTCATCCAGTAGCTGCTGAACAGGTAGGCAGGCAAAGCAGGGGATCTTGGAGAAGAAAACTCACAGGAATGTGAACAAATCTTTCTGACAAGCCAGACAACTCCAATGTGCAATACCGAAGACTAAATAGATACGGCATTCTCACACTGTCCCCCCACCCCACCACAGGTCCCCAGGCTTAAAGGTCTGATCGGGATGACAAACACAGCAATGAGCAGTATTTTGAACATGTCTGTGATTGAGTCTGCTAGTAGGGTTTTCTCTTTTTCCCCCCAAGGGTACAGAAGGTTATTTTGCCATAAAAGGAGTTAATAACCCAGAAATGTATTTACAGAAAGCATTGGACTATGAGAAATTTACATCGACAACATTGGTCTTGTACGCAAGGGTAAGTTCTTTAGGAGGAACAAAATGCCTTGTTTGCCCCAGTCTCTCTTAACTGAAGGATAAGTCTGAATGGGAGATCTCTGGGATGGCAGGAGGGAGGGTGGATACTGGGGATGGTGAATTTGGAGCAGCCTTCCACCCTCCATAATTACACAGTGACTGTGTCCAGCCTTGCATTCAGTCCACTTTTGTCAGCAGAATGAGATAGTTCACTGCTTTAGCTAATCTCGCATAAACTGCTAAGCCTTAGACAAAGTAGAGTTACAACAACAAAAATACCCTGGGCCACTGCCTTTTGCAGATGGGTTCTTCTTGCATCTCATGAGTATGCTTTGCCTTTGGGTACAGGACAGGCCTGTGGACAGCACTGACACCACCAACACAGCTACCACAACAATAAACATATTTATTGAACAAGCTGACACCAAATCACCCTGGTTCCTACCCTGTACCTTCATTAACACGGACAACAGCATTTGCATCAGCAGCCCCTATACTGGAAGGGTCAATATCTCTGAGATGTCGGTAAGCAGGCATGATCAAACAGTATCCTTGATGATATTCTCAAACAATATCCAGATGCTATTCCCAGTGGGTATTGCCTAATAATTTCCATGACCTCGTGCTGATCTCCAGTCATAAATACAGATGATTCAGCATGACAAGGAGCCTTCATTATCCTGGAAAATGGAGGTTCCTCCACCCCAAGCAGCACTGCCTGTCCTTATTCCTGCAGCACATCACAAGGAGAGGCGAGAGCTGGAAACCCCTTTGCTCCAGGCTGTCTCGCCTCTGCCCTGTTACAGCCATTTCACAGCAACAAATGCCATTCTGCCCAGACAAACCCACCAGAGCCACGCTGGGACAGGAGAATGCTGCAAATGCTAATTTGGTGCTGTAGTGTGGTATGTAATGCTTTGCCTTGTTATTGCAGACAGAACCACTCATCCTAGAGCCGGGGCCTATCTATGCTATTGATCCTGACTACATGTTAAATGAAAAAATCGTGTACAGTATTGTTGGTGGTGAGTAGAAGTTGTTACCTTCCACAAACTGCATTGCTCATATGTCCCAGATATTACCTGCCAAGACGAGATACCCTCCATGGCACTTGAGAGTTGAGGGCCTGGAGATTTGCCCCTCTGTTTCTGCCACAGAAACATAACTAGATCCACAGAACATTGTGGATTAAGTAGAAAAAATAGACTGTACAGAGAGGAAGAAAAAGAGAATTACAGTCCCACAAACCAATCTCCATGAATTCTGTTTCAAAAGGACTTTGTTTTTTTGGGAGGTGAGACTGTTTTATCTTTAAGCTTTTAGACTTGATTTTGCTAGTCTGGTCACACCACATTCGTTCAGTCTTTGAGCTGAACCTAAAATTCCCACATCATCAGCATAATTTTCATTCTTTGTCAAGAATTATGTTTTTATTCCCCAGCACATTGCCACTGTCTAATCTGCCCTGTTTTAGTCTTGGTTTCACAAGGATTACTTGAATACAGTCAACTGATTGCCCAGTTGCTGACTGGGCCATTTATTTTGTTCAAAGTATTTAGTTTTTGGGTTTTTTTGTTTTTTTTTTTTACCGGTAGTGGGGTTTCGAATAACTATCAAGGCAAAGGTAGATCATATTGGTCAAGTGGAGTGATCACTTGTTCATCTCCCTTTACCTCTGCCACATGGCACCACATCTATGAATATCCTTCTGATAATAAATACATTAAAGAACCTTAAATTCCAACTGGCATTTTGGATGTAGTGTGGCATCCCTACCCCACAGTCAATAGGGAACCCCAGACTGGGTGGTCCTTGTCTAAATACAGCCCACAGTGTCTCAGAGTGAGGAAGAGAACTAAAAATTTTGCTTATATTTTAACATATATCCAACATAGGTGTTTTTATGATTCAAAAAGAGATTATAGATGTAGGAAGCTGATTTCTACCCCTACATCAATACAAGAAGGTTTCTGCATCTAGGCTCCTTTTGTAGTCAGTAGAGAGAAATAAGCATTCCCAGAGCAGAATGCAGCTCACGTTGAGGCCGATGTTCACAGTAAGTCACATAAAGCATGTACTGAGATGCCATTTTCTCTTCACAATACAGGTAACAAGGTCAGGTAGAGATGCCTTCCCTTTAGAGGCCTAGAGCTATTTGAGATGAATCCACACCCTACTATTCTTTATAGATTGGTTTCTTGCCTTTAAAATAGGAATAATCCTTCCCTTACCTCTCCTGAAATGCAGTTTGGGTTCAGTTAGGGTTTGGGTTCAGGTTAGGGTTAGGGAACTGGAGACCTTCAGTCCTCAAAATGCACCAGAGTCTCTAGACTTCAGGCATTTGGCAGAATTTAAGCGGGCTATATCTGGGCCTAGGCACTGGAAATGCAAAGCTTTGCTGTCCTACCTCATCTAGTTGGGTTCACACACATCTTCTTGATGCTTTTTGCCTGTTGAGTCCCTCTTAATCCCTGGCCAGCACTCTCAGCCCTTGGACCAGCCAGGCAGGCAAGGAAAACAGCATTATGCCCTGGAGGTATTGTCACTAAGATGTGAAAAAATGAGTCAATGAGCTCCAGGTCACTTTATGAAGGTATCTGATGATTGAATAGTCTTTCCATTTTCTTTAGGGGATACGGACAAAGTATTCTCAGTGGATGCAGACACAGGGAATCTAACTATGAACAGAGTAGCGACTTCCCCAGACTCGTACCTACTGCAAGTCATGGTAAGTCTGATGACATTGCAGACAACAACCCAGCATAGCTGGCTTTCTAGGAAGCAGCAGTCTTGATGTTACAGGAGTCAACTACATTAATAACTAAAGCTAACCCGGTTACACCCTTTCTTTTGGAAGGGCCTAGTATTTGACCAGTGTCTTATACCCACTTACACGCAAAGCTCTCGCAGAAGTTAAGAGGCATTTTCCCTTATGTGTGGGTTGCAACATCAAAGCAAATCAATTGAATGGGGACATCCTGCTGAGTTGAAAGTATGGAGGAGCATAACGGGAAGGCTTTGTTTAGGCATGACTGGAGCTTGTGTTACAGCAGATAAAGTAACTCAACCCTAGAGACAAGCTTCTTTTTTGGCTACAGCTCAAGAGGAAAGGAGGGAGTTGAAAAGCACACCCTGCATATACATACCCAGGAAGATGTGGACTCTCAGGCAGTAACTGAACTGACTCAAACCCTCATGAAGATGAGCAGACTCTGCCTGCTGGTGCTGGAATCTCACTGCTTTGTACAGGAGCATGGCAATTTGTCCAGACATGGCCCATATGGAGGGTCATATCTAGACTTTGGGGCTAGACCAAAACTGTGTGGAGGGCCAACAGCAGAAGCAAGCTGAAACACATGGACTCCAAACCATAAGACCACCTGTGACAGGCCCGGCTCAAAGCTCACTGAAAATGATGGAAAGAAACCCATGGGTTGCAATGGGCTTCAGATCAAGCCTGTCCTTTTATGTCTCATCATTAATAGGAAAAGGCTAGCATCTCTCTCTCTCTCTCTATTTCTCTCCAGGCCACCCAGGTCAACAACATACAGAAATACTCCGTAGTCAGTGTAGAGATTAAGGTCATCAATAAAAGTGATCATCCACCATACTTTGAGAACAGGATCTACAACGGGACAGTATGTGTTGGTCTGGCCCCGAGAAGCTTTGTCTTCCAAGCTGGCGTTCCTTCAAGCCCCCTGATGATAACAGCAGCGGATGATGATTTCCCTAATGTAAGAAACTGAAAATGCACTGCATTCTTTCTCACTGCTTCAGGCTTAAAGCAGGATCAGAAAACATGAGGAAGGAGAGCTGGGGAGAGGCAAACACATGTTTTCCTTTAGTGTTCCATATTATATTTCCCTGGAAATTCCACATAGATCAGAACTGCTTATGGTCTGATGTAATGTGGAGAAGCTGCTGGACTCCTCTCTTCCAAAAGCCAGTCCCACACAGATCTATGTAGGTGAGCTGATCCACTGCAAAACAGCATGCTGTGGACTTTTGAGAGAGCCATTCCTGAACAATGTACTGAGAGAAAGAAAGGGGGAGAGATTTACTGACCAGCCATTCCCATCCCGCCCTATTAAATAAAGAAGAAAGTGCTAGTTTTATTGATGCCGAGGCTTCCATAACAAGACTGGGGACCTAGTAGAGGAATAACAGCCTAGACACAAAGGAAAAAATTGTGCAAACCTCAGCACAAGTATTATTCTCCATGTACATCCCCCCTTTGGCACTCTATTAAAGGCAGAACTGATCAAATTAAAAGGTTCCTTGCATAGATGTGTTTTGCCTGGGCAAATACTAAAGATACCAGCACAAGCTGGGTAAGACTTGGAATTTTTTTGGAGGCAACACTTTTAGGATACATTCTTGAACTCTGAGCAACAACAGGATGAACACACTTGAGTTCAACCTTTCTAACCTCCTCAGTCCAGATTGATTTCTTGCACTGTACACCTGCTCATACTTCAAGTGTATTTGACAAGTCCTGCCAATGGGTTGTTACAAAGATGCATGCAAAGCACAAACAGCGTGGTTTAATCATTTGCTCTTCTGGCTTTTCAGAAAGTCAACCCAAACATTGAGTACTACATAAAAAACAGCACCGATTTCATCGCAACCAAAGATGGACTCATCCTGACAAACGTGATGCTGCAGTCACCGGGAACTGTAACCATCGAGGTAGGGCAACTTTCTTCATTATCTTGCCAGGGTCATGGAAGGAGTAGTTTCTAGCAGAGAAGCACCAAGGGTGGAATTCTATTAGGTAAGGGATATAATAAAAGGACAGTTCTTGCCCCAACCATTTGCATCATAAATGTATAGGGATGGAGGGAGATGAAGTGATTGCAAATTTATTCTGTGTGATACAGGCTATATCTGGTGCTAGCTGTAAAATTGTTTCTCCAATGCAAACTATCATTGGAGACAAGCAAAAAGTCAACTGGGGAGATTTTAGGAGCCCCCTTCCCACACTCTGATTCTGATTAACAAAAAAAGGAGGGTGAGCAAGTGGGTAGGAGATTGATGTGTGGGTATGGGTAGGGTACGATTGCTGGTATATACCCCAGCTCTAAAGGCTACAGCCCCAAACTTGGAAATCCTTTGGTAAATCCAGTACTTTTTTTGCTCAGGTCAAAGGAAGTGGTTAATAACTTTAGCCTTTCCAAGAAGCTAGATGTTCACTTTGTTCATCTGCCTGCCAGTGACAACTGGCTCCCTAAGACTTGCCTAGCACAATGCCATGCCCTATGGAGCTGTCTGAACCAGCTTGACTATAGCATTGTTTTAGCTACACAGGCAGGGCAGAGAGAGGTGCCAACACATGCTGCTGCCTGCTCCACACTATCTCATTATCTGTGTACAGCACTGTGCTGCAAAGCTGTATACAAATGATGCACGTGGTTCTGGCCCAGGACAGGGAATCTTCAGAGCTCTTCTTCCTCTGCAACCAGGTTGTCCAGCTACAATGCAGGGCTATTGTGAGGATGTGGTGAGGATATGGACAAGGTACTTCATCCACAAAGGGCCCACTACATACCTGGAGAGTGAGCTGGAGATCTAGGAAGTCCCTAAGCTATCTCTTTCCCATGTTCACATAGGCTGTTGGAAAAGATATGGTGAGCCTACAGAAAGCGAGCACTATAATCATGGTGGAGGTCATCCTTGCCCCAGGTAGGCTGAGTGTCTCTTTGTTTTCTGCTTTGTGGAGATGACTGGGGAGTCTTTTCCGCTTCTGTGAGCAAACTGGCAATGACAGGTCACCCACTGAAGTCTGTGGACCTGGGATGAGGACAACCCCATACCTACAGGAGGTTCTATGGTGGCTATAAGAGAGAAGACACTCAAACAACATCCTTATGATGTGGTCACCACATGCCTCAAACAGCCTCCTGAGACTTTAAGTAGTGCTGTGTATTGTAGTGTCTTTTTTTGTTACTCCAAAGCTTCCTGCTGTTTTGTGGGTCAGAAATAACCCAGGACGTCTTATCATGGCAAAGGAGGGTTGCCCTGATGCCTTGGTACATCATTGCTCCTTTTTAGCCAAAAATAGAGAAAACTGCAACATTATTTCCTGTCTTATGCAGAGCAGACAGAAGTTGGCACACCCCCACAAACCCAGGCTTCCTCATGAGCCAAAGCATTCTGTACTCAGGTCAAGTTCTTATACTCCAAGATTTTAAGGTCTTACCAGGAGAAATGACCCATGAGAAATACGGTAGACACGAGGCTACATCCGTAACCCTCCAGCTATCATTTCGCTTTGTTGATGTAAAAATAGCTTACACTTCCATACTTCTTAGAAATGGCTCTTAAATAGATCTTATAAATCAGTTAGATTTGAAGCTTATGAAGCTTCTTGTGCTTTGGATTAAGATGAACCAATATAATGCATTTTCACATCAGGATAGGCAGAAAATGCCCAGACTACATTGGTTTCTACATGATGATGTGTGACTGAAATTCCCAGTTGGGCTCTTCCATTACTTCATCCTCTGAACCACAACCATCATGAGGATTTCTGGCGGAAAAAAAAAAAGTGGGCTCCTGGGTGTAAACTTGGATTCCCTAAAGGTAGTGTCACTTCACAGCTAAAACCACTGGCTGCGAAAAAACTACCTAAACCCAATTTAAGGGCACAGTCCAGCTCAGCAGAAAGCTAGCTCAGGTGTCAGTACACAGAGCTGCAAACGCTCCAAACAGATGTATCAACACTTCTATGCAACTTTAAAATGTTGCCCTTGCTATTTAAACCACACAAAATAATGATGCTGGTGACTATGCAAAAAAGTAGATTGAAATTACACTGAATGGCTCAGAGCCTATGAGAGGAGTTGTGCTTTATTCTATACTATAGCCAGCACCCAGGAATGGGCTAAACAGAGCTGAGATTACCATTTGCCAGGACAATCTGTAGGATATTTCACCCTCAACTCTAAGAAGTGGTGTTAAGGAATGCACATGCAATGGGTTGGAGAGTGCTCTTACTGAGCATTCCGATACCCAGGGAGAAACTAGAGTCGTTTTTAATATACTCTCCTTCTGGGAAGTGGTAACTGTACATTGGCCTCTGGTTTCTGACATACCGGTGCCAGAGCCAGCTCACACAGATCTCAAGGTGAGTCATTCCACCAAGATGAGCTAGCTTTCACAGAGGCACTGCGTGCTGCACAGTACAGAAGGAGTTAAGGGTGGTGGAGTTTCACATCAGCTCTGTAGGCTGTGGCTCCCTAGGAGACATGATTAAGAAGCAAAAATTCACTGACGTCCTAAACCCTCACCAACGTATTAATGATAAACTGAGGGTGCAATCAAATGTGGAGGGAATACTCAAAGTCCATTGTTATAAACAGGTCAGCAGGGGAACTAAACTGTGTTTCATTAATCATTAAACTTTAAAGAGATGAATTTACACTAAAATATGAAGCTGGAAAACTTAAAAATAAAGAATCCCACTGACAACAACAAGCAAAGCTGATTAACCCTGAGGAAGTTATTGTCTTTCCACTATAATGTTGATCTCCATACAAATGTTCTTACACTGACCGGTGGCTGAAAGCACAAGCCACTCCTGAGAAGGCTGGTGTATATTGCTACAGCTACAAAAAGGGCAGGAAAGGATTTCCTGTCCTGGGGACCTTCTAATGCTTTTTCTATTTCCCATTATGCTTTTTTATTTCCTATTTTAATGTGCTCATCAGTATCAGAGGTGACGTTCTGGATTAAAGGAAGCTTTGCATTTTCACACACACATATAGACTCATATGTACAAACGTACCTCATTTTTGCATGCTGGTGTAAATGGGTGAGTGGGAAAGTACAAGATCTACCTAGCTTTACTCCATGTAACAAAGATCTACCTAGCTTTACTCCATGTAACATCTGCTTGCCTAATACAGTCACGTACATATTGGCTTAGTTAAATCATGGGGTAAAAGTAATTGTCGTGTAAATGGATGCTATTTCCACTTCATGTGACTTATTGGAAGTTATAATATTCTGTGAGTGATCACCTTAGAAAAACCCCCTCTGCTTTCAGGACAGCAAACAAATGGCCTTCTGTGACATTAAATATATCACTGTCACATTCTGCAGCGCAGGATGGTTCTTTGCCCTTCAAAAATTGGTTGGAGCTTCTCCCACAATGAAATGTTGTGTTAAAAAAGCTAGCTGCCATTTTTAGGCTTTGTAACACTGGTTTGTTTTTGTTGTAGTTGTAACCGCCTCTGATAAGATACACACTGCTCAGGATATGGCTATCTTAGGTGGTACATTAGCAGCACTGCTGTTAATTGCCTTAGTCTTCCTTGGAGTCATTATATTTAAACGGTATGGAAAAACAGTCAAATACCTGATAAGGAAAAAGGTAAGTGCCTTGTTTGTACCTGATACTTCAAGAATTTCTTAGAATTAGAAAATGGGATGTGAGGAGGTTTTAAAGCATGGATGGGTTGTCCAAATATTACACGTTTGTGAAGGTGATGAATCGCCCCTGAGACAATGTTTGCAAAGGTAGTATTGCTTTGGTGTTACTTGCTGGTGTTCTTTTCTGCCCCCTGAGGCTGGAGCCGTGTGGTAGATGATGAGCAGACATGGTAAGGAGAGAACCACAGGTCCATGGAGCACAAAATCTAGGATGAATGTGACACATATCAGAGGTGGTCTCTGAAAAACAGGTGTCTGTGGTATAAACGGCTGTTCATCGTTCCTCTATGGTCAATGGAGGGAAAGGTCCCTTCATATCCTATCCTAAAGACTGGGCTTAGATAGTTGTCTGCACTTGAGCTATTAACCCTGGCAGTCTGGTTACTTTGAAGTTTAGGGTGTAATTCATTTGACCAGATGTTGGTCTCTGCCTTAGAATGGGATGTGAGGAGCCTAGACTCTACTGACTACAACATGAGTCCAGAGCACATAGCTCAGGTGAATAACAGACCTTCACCCTATGTGAGGTAAATCCTTGAGAGTAATACCTCAAATGGATAGGTACAAATTGGTATACATTGCTATAGTGCTCAGCCCTCCTGGAAAACATACCTATGCTTATCTGAAAAAATCCAGAAGTGGAGTCAATAAAAAATAGCCGTTCTAGGGAGCTGTATCTTTCCAGGTTTCAAATAGGTCTAACTGCAAAACAAGCTGAAGCTTTTCTGAGCAGGAGCTCAGTCACTTCAGCCACACCTTCCCCCCCCCAGCACCCCCCGCCCCGTTTCTTTTCCTTTCACTACAATCACAAGGTGTCTCTCCTCCTGTAGTTCTCCCAGGAAATCTCTGGGGATTACCAGAACCAATCTTACAAGCAAGATGAACACCCAGATGTGAGAACCAAACAGCATGAGACGTCAGAAAACGGCAGTGTCCAGTCGATGACACGTGTGTTAGAGCAGCCAGCACTTTCCTTGCCGTCTTCCAACACAGAAGAAATTGAGAGCCTCCCAAAGGCTTCTATAGTTTCTACCATCATCTTTGACCGGGAAGATAAAGAGGAAGAAGTGGAAGAAGAGACTGAGCATGAGAAAGAAGTGAAGTCTATCCTCAAGACAGACAGGCACGTGGCAGATGATGGCTACAAAGCTGTGTGGTTTAAGACTGATGTGGATCCAGATGCTGGAGAGAGAGTTGAAGTGATTGAGGACAATGCAGCAAATGGTGATGATGACAGTGACCAAGATCTGCAGAAGAATGAGGAGGAGGAGGAAGAAGATTATGACAAGGACGGTCACCACAGAGGGCTGGGAGTGTCCTTTGTCTCAGAGAGCTCATCACTCCCACCTGCAGAAGTGATAGTCAACATGTCTCGCACAGATGCAGTGACAGAAGACAACAGTGACATATAATGAAAACAGGCCTGCACTCTCCCCACAAAAATGGGGGAATCTCAGCTGCTTTGCTGACATGAAGCCATCTTTCTGCTCAGCGGGGAAACTGGAATGCAGGAGGATGAGGTTACCCATCCTGCTTATCTGAATGAAGAGATTAAAGCTGGAAAAGATTACAGTTAATTCAACCTTTTAGTGAGACCTTGAAGTATCACTTAGGATTTTGGTGAGGGGGAACAAATGTTCCATGTCTCCACCTTTCTGCCTGTTCCCCCTGGGGCCCCTTACACCACATTTCCCAAACTGGTTGCAGGTACAGCAGAGGTGTAGCTGAACTAACTTTGAAGCTGTTAGTCCAGCTCGCGGTAGCAATTTACACAACCCAGTGTTCATCTCCTCTTGGTGGGTAAATAAGCCAGCACTGACTGCTTGGCTGTTCCCTTTAGGGTGTTACAGTTTGATGCCAGCTGCAGGGTGTAAGTCAGCGCAAGTCACCCTAACCCTGCAGTTGCTCGTATGACTGTATCCAGGATCTCACTTCAGAGCTTGGCTCTGCTTTCTGCCGTGCCAGACTCTGTGCTCTCAGCACAAGCAGCTGTCCTCGTCCTGCCAGCAGCCAGGAGTTTACACGCCTAGCAGCTGCTGGTTCCTCTATCACTGGTAAGCAAGGACGGATCACATGTTCTTTACTGAAGGACTTTGTCATCAATTTTTCTATGTCATAAAACCACTAATTGTGCAGTACTACTTTGGTCGTCTGTCTCCTATCTGTCAGGGAAAAGAAAAGCTCCTGCCAGGACCTGCCTACAAAATGCCAGGGGATTTCCAGCTCTCTGGGCTTTTGGCAGCAATGGGTATCATTCCAGGGGTGCTGTATGTGGGGTCAGCATGTTGTTTCCCATTGTTTCCCTTATCCAACAGGGCTCAAGGTGTCCCTTTTACCATTGCTGCTGAAGGTGGATGTCAGCATTGCCTCTAAGTGCTAGATGGCACTGCCATTTCTCTGCTCCTCTTTTGTCTCAGATGTCAAGCCCTTTGCATACCACCTTTCTCTATTCATGAGCCTGCTCAAAAGAGCAGGCTCTTTTGCTGGTAAAATACCATCTTTCCAGTTTCACCTAGAGCTGAGATGCAGCCTGCGAGCACAGGTGGCTCACTGAGAGCAAGTCAGCTCTGCTGTGCTCAGCTTACGAGTTCAGGCTTGAGCTAGAAAGCCTGCTGACCTCTTCATTGACTTCATGGGGTCACAGCACCATAGTGTGTTGGACCCTCCTCCCTCAATCCTCCCTGATCTTTCTGCAATATTGTCTTCAATTATGGTTCTGCCGTAAAGCCCCAATTCAGCAAAGTGAGCACACCATTTCCAGGCAGCACGGGGAGTAAAGTGGTTGATACTCTGGTCTAGATTTACATCTCCCATCAACCAATCTCTTCCCCCACCTGGCAATCAAAAGCTGGGCTGATTTCCACTGTCTGAGAATATGGCTGTGTGCATTTGCATCTTCTAATCTATCAGCACAAAATTTGTGCTGCTCCTGGTTTTCTCATTCTGGGGCTAGCTACAGGGCAGACATGGGCTGTTGAGTGTTTAACTTCCAGTAAAAAGCTCAGGTGTCCAAGACAGGGATGCAGCAGAAGGAGCTTGGGTCACTAATGTTTATCTCACTTTCTCAGCTTAGCACAATAGCACAGGATTGCAACAAGATAAGTCTCCTGGTAGAGAACCAAAACCAATAA